ATTACATGTATCTGCCACCACTCTCAGCTTGAAATATTACTGCCTTTTGGAAATCAATTATCAAAGCATTTCTCTAACACATTATTGCAGTTATGGCTATTCAGAGAATAAAGAGAAAAAAAGAACAAACAATTTTATACAATGTCCTTCTGTTGAAGCAAGAATGATGACCTCCTCTTTAAAAAAAATGATCAAGCCAGGTGTGGTGGCATACGTCTGTAATCCCAGCACTTGGGAGGCTGAGGAAAGAGGATCCTTGTCAGTTCGAGACCAGCCTGGTCTACAAAATCAGCCAGACAGAACTGCATGGTGAGACCCTGTCTCAAACAGACCAAAAAATAAAATTACCATTTTTTTGGTTACCAGATGTAGTATTACATGCCTCTGATGCCAGTTCTGATGGGGCGGAGATGAGGTGCAAGAATCACAACTTCAGGCTTAGCCTGGGCCATATGTGTATACACATATACATAATCTTGGGGAGTCTGTGATTAATGAATGGTCTCTCGATGTTAATATCTAACTCTGGGCAGTCATAAAGTCCCCTCTTCTGAGATTTAAATGTTGTGTTTTCTAACACCTCCAGTGACCAACTCTTCATCCATGTCTTTCCCCTTCTTCATCGTATTTCCTAGTATATAACTATACTCAAATAATGACCGTATAATGGCCTCTACCTATTTCAAATCAAATAACAAGTTGCACGTCTCTCAATTTAAACCAAACACTAAAAATAACTAATATCTTAGTAAGTAAAAACATGTCAAAAGCCAAGACAAACCCAAAGTTGGGTCTTTTGTACAACTCAGGCAAGTACTGCCTGCAAAAGAAACTGCTAGAAGCAAATGAGAACTGCTACTCCAAGGAATATGCAAATGCTAAGAAGGCAGAAGAGATTTATCAGTGATATAGAGAACATTTTAGTGGTGTGAACAGATCAAACCAGCCAACTAATTCCCTTAAAAATTAAGTCAATTCCTGAGCAAGCTGTGTGAAGAATGAGAAGGAAGCTACAGAAAACAATTTCAAGCTGATAAAAACATGGTTCATAAGATTTAAGAAAGATGTTGTCACCATAACAGCCCTGGGTGAAATAACAAGCATTAATACAGATGTGGTGATAAGTTATCGGGAAGATCTACCTATGATACCACCTGATGCATGTGGCCACACTCAACAAATCTCCAATGTAGAAGAAACAGTTTTATGTTAGAAATACATGACTTCTAAGACTTTTGGAGCTTGATAAAAGTTAATGCTTGGCATCAAAGCTTAGCTCTCCTATCGAGTGGAGAGCTGAAACTAACTACTCATTTACCATTCAGAGTATAGAAAGAACCCCACTCTCTGTATCATCGGTGTACAGAATACAGAAATAGTGGATGCCAAAACAAAATGGAGACTTGACACTGAATCTAATCCTGGGGAAGACGCTCTGAATATTACTGATATGACAACAGCGGATGAGAGGTCTTATAAAACACTGGTTGATGAAGCAGTCACAGGATTGGTTCCAATTTTCCATGAAGCCCTAATGTGATACAAATAAATCACTTGGGAAAGGACACACTACTGCTGCAAATCTGTTTTACTTTTTAAAATTTTCCAGACTGCCCCACTTTCAGCAATCAGTACTTACACTCAAGTAACACCAACATCAAAGGAAGACCTCCTACCAGTGAAGACTTGCATTAAAGTACACAGCTTTTTAAAGACATTGTGATTTCACATTTAGACTACAGCATATGGTTGTGTTTCCCCTTTCTCTGATATCTGCTTTATTCTCTTAGTCTGAAACCAAAGCATCTTATGAAAACTGGATTCTAGGGGCTGGGGATTTAGCTCAGCGGCAAAAGCGCCTGCCTGGCAAGCGCAAGGTCGTGAGTTCGGTTCCCGGTACCGGAGAAAAACTAAAAAAAAGGAAACTGGATTCTAGTGCCGACCACAGATGATGTTCAAGGTGAAAGGACTATTGGAACTATCTCTTTTGTCTGCATCTCCTACATGCTTTAGGATCAACTCATTCCTTTCAGCATGGGCATCTAATCTGTCACCTTACTTTGGCTATGCAATGTGTCCTTGAGCCTTAACTTCAAAAAGTTCTTCTTTAAAAAAAAAAAAAAAGCCTCCCCCTATCGCTATGCAATAGAGGTCTAGAGGACTACTCATGCCTGTAAACTAAACTAAAATGTCTCCAGAGGTATTCTGTAAATATCATGAAAAAGAACTATATGAAACAAGTGATGATAAACACCCAATATTTCACATAATCTCTCTAAGAATGACTGATGACTGTAGGGTATGGGGGCTGGGGATTTAGCTCAGTGGCACAGCACCTGCCTGGCAAGTGTAAGGTCATGAGTTCAATTGCCGGTGTGTGGTGGGGGAGACAACTTTAAGGTATAGACTCAGAAACCACACTGGCATGGATTCTTATCAAAGATTTTCCACTAAAAAGAAATAAATAGGGGCTGGGGTATAGCTCAGTGGCATAAGCGCCTTCCTGGCAAGTGCAAGGTCTTGAGTTCAATCCCCACTACTGGAAAAAAAAAAAGAAAGAAATAAAAACTTGTTTCTAAGTTAGTATTGTTGATGCATTTATTTACTTGGAAAATTGTATGATAGGATCTAAACAAGTTAATCAAATGCAGATAGCAAACAAGAAACACAAAAACAGCAACAGTTGAAAAAAAAAAAACAGCAACAGTTTATAAAGGCTATTAACATACTGTGTTCCATAATACATGTTCCATATTGTCTCTCCTCCATGCGTGCCATTTTTTTTTTATCTCTTTGAGACAGGGTCTCACTATGCAGTTCAGGCTGGCCTTGAGCTCACTTTGTAGCCCAGGCTGGTCTCAAACTCGCAACAGTCCTCCTGCCTCAGCCTCCTGAGCGCTGGGATTACGGGTGTGCGCCCCCGGAACCCTACAACTCTGGCATTCTATTCCCAAGAGTTGCTGGCTCCTTTTTTACATGTCCTTATGGCCACCTCATGATGTACCGTGTCTTCTACAATCAAAGGCTGTTATTTTACAGCTTCCAAAAAATATACAACGCAGGAAAAACAATATGCCTCAGATTATCCATGAAAACAGGATGTTTGAAAAATTAATTGGCGAACACTACCATGTCATGGCTAAGTCCTCAAAGTTGCAGATCAAGCCAAGATTTTCTTTCAAAAATAACACGCTGACATCTTGTGAGGCACCATGACTAGATGTCAGAGTGTCACGAATCTCAGAACACAAAATCACAACGTTCAGACAAGGTCCTGTGTCATCACAAACCCAGCTGAGGCCTCCGCAATACACTGCATTTCTGTCGACCAAACAGGATTGCTGGAATGGTTTATTCTTTTCTTCCTAAGTGAAGCTTAATATGACTTTCTGTATACACTGTATGAAATCCATGAAGATGACATGTTACAAAGTTCTCTTTCCTTCACAGTCAATTATGTGGGCAAACGGTTATAATACTGAAAAAATTTCAAGAAACAAGTATTTCATTTTAATTGTATTTTTCTACTACAAACACGTATGTCTTATTTCATAAATTTGAGAGATTATGCATAGGAATTGGAGTAAGATGATGAGTAAGACAATATCAGCTAAATATGCATGAGAAATTTACCCATGGAAGACTAACCTACTACTTCTTGAAATTGACCAAAGCGGTGCTGATATGAACACTGCACATATTTCTTAATCTTTGACATAGGATTATGAAAATTCTAGATAAGCAGAATATAAGTGATATATCAACTTAAACATTCTATTATAAATGAAAACTACTAACAAATTGAACCCTATTACATGTTTCCCACCCCCAGGACATGGACCAGTACTATTCCTGGCTGGTCAAGAACCTGCCACACAGCAGGATGTGTCAGCAAGGAACGCTTCTTCTACATTCAGGGCTCATGTTACTGACCTGGCTGGGTGTCCTGTCAGAAGCTCAGCAGCACGAACCCTGTGAGAACTCCATACAGGTGAGAACTCAACACAAGTGAGTACCAACAAAACAAAGGTTTGACATTCACAAACTATAAAAAATACTACCTAAAACGATACATATCCTAGCCAGGCACGGTGGTGCACGCCTGTAATCTCAGCTCTCAGGAGGCTGAGGCTAGAGGATTGTTATGATTTTGACACCAACCTGGGCTACAAAGTGAGTTTAAGACCAGTCTGAACTGCATAGTGAGACCCTTTCTCAAAAAGACAAAAATAAATAAATAAAATAAAATTATACATATCACTAAGCCAATTAAGACTTCCTTACTTTGGGGCTGGGGATTTAGCTCAGCGGCAAAAGTGCCTGCCTGGCAAGCGCAAGGTTGTGAGTTCGGTTCCCGGTACTGGAGAAAAACCAAAAAAAAACAACAACAACAAAAAAAGACTTCCTTACTTTATGATCCTTACCCAATAGCTTTTATCCATAAATCCCAGCAACTACTCTGGTGAAGACTTTACATAGCTAATAAATTTATATGTAGACAATTTGATTGTTCCTTTGCCTTGTGTGAGTACCACCATCAAAGACATCAAAGATGGAACAGGCTGGTCTTGATAACACATGCTTGTAGTCCAAGCACCCTGGTCAGCTAGTTCAAACTCATTCCGGGCAACTTAGTGATTTTGTAAAACCCTACGTTAATATGCAAAAAGGATGGGGCTGCATGCAAACTGACACAAGAACACTAGGTTCAGACACACACATACCCACACACACTCTCTCACAATGCAAGAGATGACATACAAATAATCAACATTCAAGAAGGTGGACTCAACAGAAAATATAATGACAATCACTGTTTCACTGGAAAGTTACTAACCAGTATCAGTCACTGCACATTCTATCCAAAAAATGAGAAAATGGCCTCTAGATATGTTTGCTAGAATTCACTATAAACACATTAATTTCAAAAAAAGTTTTTACTCTATCCTCAACAATTAAAAAAAAAAACAGGCAAAGGGAAAAAAATGTACAACAGTACCTCACAGTTTAGTTGCTCTATGCATTTATTTTTAGCTGTTATTAATGCAGAAAGAGGGACAAAAAGCTCATAAACAATCTACACAATTTCACAAGATGCACTGTGGGGGAAAAAAGGTAACTTATGGACCAACATTATTTAGGGTCTTGGTGGACGCATTCCTGGGGGAGGTGGACCTAAAAAGGAGAGAAACAAAATCCAGAAGACAGTTAGGTAAAAGGGGTATAAGTCTTCAAGGATGTGGCCAAGCTTCCAAAGTTCCTGCAGTCCTTACTTACCTCTAATTCCTGGTGGTGGGGGTCTCATTCCAGGAGGGGGCATGCCTATTGGTGTCCCTCGAGCAGGAGGAAGCCCAATTGGTGGACCCATGGGTGGTCTCATACCAGGTGGTGGAGCCATAATGCCTAAAAAAATGGCCAAAAAAAAGGCCTCATAGGTTGGCGTAGAAAAGTTCTTAGTATTCAGCCCAAATTAATACTTGAAGAAATAACCCATCACCAATAAGAGGGTCAAATAATTTCTCTTTAAATGTATGCCTCTATGTGACATCCTCAATATGGAAGAGCCTACAGCCTTCATTACATAAATTACCTGGTATAGTCCCCATATTCTAATTAGGCATGTATTCACAGACTTTATTCATTACATTATTCACAGTATTGTGAAACATTACCTCAAGATCACAACATATTATGTCTCAAAAATGCAAACTAAACTTCTTGCTTACAAATCTCTTACCTGGAGGTGGCGTTGCTCTGCCTACAGGAGGGGGTGGAGTCCCCCTTCCCGGTGGGTACTGGGTGGGAGCTCCAGCAATGCTGGCAGTTGCAGCCACAGCAGCAGCTGCCACAGTACCTCTTCCCTGTGGAGTCATTACCTGAGAAGACATGAAGAATAGGCAGTAAAAAAAGGTAAGTGACACCTTGAAACTTGCACATAAAATAAATGGTGGTTGTCCTACTAAATACTAAGGAACTACTGCAGTGTTGCACTTACCTCATTCATGTTTTATTTTTGCAGTATTGGAAAACAAACCCAGGTAACTATGCCAGCTAAAAACACTATCAGTGATCTACACCCAAAGCCCTTCATTCCATACTTTAAAACAGGTCCTGCCGTGCATGGTGGCACATGCCTATAATCCCAGCACTCAGGAGGCTGAGGCAGGAGGATCGTTGCAAGTTCGAGACCAGCCCGGAGTAAGTGAGCTCAAGGCCTGCCTGAAACACACAGCGAGATCCTGTCTCAAAAAAGACCACAAAAATGTCCTGGCATATTAAAATCCATTAAGATATTTTACCTTTCCTCATATCTGCCATGCCCATCCGTATTCTCTAGTCTGCAAAGTAATAATGGTGATTTCCCTTCTCAAGGTAGCTTTAATTATTCAATGATCACTTTATCAAATTGCTGTATTTCTTGCCTACTGAGTATTTGGCTAACAGTTCCTTCCAGACTATCATCTGCTTAAATACTTAAGTCACGAGCTCTTGTCACATTTTCCCCTTTATCAAAAATCCTCCCCTGATCTTAGTGTGATGGAACATACCTATAACCTCAGAATTCTAGGAGGCTGCGATTGCAGGATCACAAGTTCAAGTCCAGCCTCAGCAACTTAGTAATGAGCAAGACTGAGCAAGATCCTGTCTCCAAATAAAAAGGGCTAGAGGTGTGTTTCAGTAAGATGACTGTGGGTTGACTCTCCAGCACTGCCATAAAATTTCCTCCCCTGGTTCCTCACCTGTTGCGATGGACCCCCTACTCCTCGGACAGGGCCTGCTAATCCAGCAGGAGCCTGCGGAATTGGTACACCAGCTGGTACACCTCTGCCAGCTGCCCTCCCAACCCCAGGACCTCCTGCAGCTCCAGCAAGTGGTACCCGAGCAATGCCAGTCTGAAACAGAGAAGTTTATAGCTTAAAACCAAATGTGTTTCCCAAGTTCTCCGGAGTCTTATTTAATCAGCTGTACCCACTATCTCCCCATAGCACCCACCCATGCTAGCAATATATTCAAATGAAAAATAATACCATGAGGTACCCTCCAGATTACTAACATGTACATACTTCTCAAAATGAGAGGACAAATATTCACTATCAGTAACTTCAATTATAACCTAGGTCATACACAATGTAGGTAATACATAAAATTAACCCATCAAAATACCCTTCAATCGGGGGCTGGGGATTTAGCTCAGCGGCAAAAGCGCCTGCCTGGCATGCGCAAGGTTGTGAGTTCGGTTCCCGGTGCCGGAGAAAAACCAAAAAATAAAAAATTAAAAAAAAAAATACCCTTCAATCTTACAAATACAGATAAGCAGGATCTGACACCAAGTGCTGGGCACATTTTCCTCAACAAAATTATACTACTGTGCTTCTGTTGTGTCTTCATTTCGGATTTCAGATGCCATGTTTATGTGTCAATTAAAAACTAAAGGCCGAGTGTGGTGGCCCACGCCTGTAATCCCATCACTCAGGAGGCTGAGGCAGAAGGATCACTGTGAGTTCGAGGCCTGCCTAGGCTACAAAGTGAGCTCAAGGCCAGCCTGAGCTGCACAGTGAAACCCTGTCTCAAAAAGGCAAACAAACAACAAAAAAACTAAAGACAAAATCACAAAGAAAAACAAAAATGTCCATCTTTCCCTGCATCTTGCTTACATCTTTAGGGGGTGGCCCTTCCACAGTCATGGACACCAAGTTCTCCCCACGGAGCAAGACCAGACCCAAAACCCGCTTCTCCTCACGCTCTGGCTGTTTAGCATTCTTTGGCCTATAAATGAAAAGTAAATTTTAGTGATGTAAATTTCAATAATAGCAAGATTATATTACAGAATTATCAATTTAGATAAAAACTGATAGCAAGATTCTCGTATGGATTTGAGACTTGCTCCATCCCTCAAAACCTCTAATATAAGCATAAATAGTACAGCTATTTAATGTTAGTCCTTTCAAGAATGCATGTTGGTATCACACAAATATTACACAAAATTCTTTTGCAATATAAATGCAAATGCCAAGACTGAACCTTTTTAAGACACGCAAAATTAAAGCATCAATTTACATGTTCAAATGAAAAGGCTGGGCAAGGAGGCACATGCCTGTGATCCCAGCACTTGGGAGGCTGAGGTAGGAGGATCGCTGCAAGTTTGAGTAAACTCAAGGCCAGCCTGAACTGAATAGACCAAAAAAAAGGAAAAGCGTATTTGTTAAAATCATATAATAAATCTTGATGGTGTAATTGAGAAATGTAAACAGAACAATGAATATATCTTGACTCTTCAACCGTGAAGAATTATTATTTCTTAATCAAGATTCAAAGATCAGGGGCTGGGGATTTAGCTCAGTGGCACAGCGCCTGCCTGGCAAGCGCAAGATCGTGGGTTCGATTCCTGGTACCAGAAGAAAAACAAAAAACAAAAACAAACAAAGATTCAAAGACCATCAACAAAACACACCAATTAAGGCTTAAAAGTTATTTTGATCATACTATATACTTTTATTTCTCAGTAGTCTATAATTGTTTTTGCAAAATTAAATGACTTCTGAGCAAGATGGTGCTCCCCTGTAAATCTAGTTAGAGGGTTCTGAGCAGACTGGGGCAAGATGACCTCAAGTTCTATCTCAGCCAGGGTCAATTTGGAAGAAGACCTTGTGGCAAAATAAACAAAAGAAGTATTAGCCGGGCATGGTGGCACATGCCTGTAATCCCAGCAGTCAGGAGGCTGAGGAAGGAGGATTTTTCCAAGTTTGGGACCAGCACGGGCTACAAAATGAGCTCAAGGCCACCCTGAACTGTATAATGTGACCCTGTCTCAAAAAAATAAAACAAAATAGTAATAATAAAATAAGAAGAAATATTAAAGTGGATGCAGAGGTACTGGAAAAATAAAAAAGAAACAAATACTCAGTTGTGGTGGCACACACCTGTAATCCCAGCACTTAGGAGGCCGGGGCAGAAAGACTTCCATGAACTCAAATCTAGCCTGACCTATACAGTGAGTGCAATGCCAGTCTAAAACACATACAACCCTATCTCAAAAAGAGAATTAAAAAAAAAAAAGAAACAAATACATTAATTTAAAAATAAATGCAATGACTTTAAGGTTCTGACCCTACTGACATGAGGCCAAAGTTTGACAAAGACTGGTCAGACCATATTTTCCCACCAAGTTCCATCATCCTTTATAATGTCAGCTCTGGTCTTGGCTTGCCACTGCCTGTGACTTCTACACTCATCACCCAAAGCTGCCTTACTTGATCTTCCTGAACTCATCACAGTCACAGAGGATCAAATTCATATGCTTGTCAAAGGCCTTGAAGGTGCCAATGAAGATGCGGCCGTCCTGCAGGATGCATCGCATTCGATAGTCAATGTGCTGCAGCATCTTGCTGCTCTTGCCCACCGTCTGGATGAAAAACATGAAAGAAGCAGCAATCACCACACCTGAGCCTAACTCTGTAACCCTCCCTTTCCCAGAGCAACACCAACTTGATTTCCTCAACAGCTTCCCCTTGAATCCTTTTCTCTACCATTCCTCCATACCGACTAAATAGATTGAAACAAGCTTTGGCCCAAGATGCTCTCTACTCCTCAGAATCATTAGGCAATTTTTCATAACCGTTTAACTTTTTCCCACAGAGAGAACCATCAGCCATGCTCCCTTTTACAAATGTTAGTCCTTGTCTTCTTAAGTACAGGTCTGCTAGGGGTATGCCCCATGCACAGCCTGGGACAAATTCCTACCCCAAATCCAAACTGCAGGTCCCAACCCAACGGAAGCTCTCTAGTCTCCTGAACCCACCATACCAGTATGCCATTTCTGAACCTTTTCTTCCATTTCATTTTTGCTCCCCTTAGGCACCATTTAACATCCTGATCACACAATGAGACTTTAATATGAAGACATGCTGCTCCTCTACTAATTTAAAGTGATCCTTTCGATTACCATAAACCATTATAAAGTACGCTATCTCTCATCCAGTATCTAATTTTCCATCCCTTGGAAGTTTATTTTTGCCTTTGAGTATGTACTATCAGAATTATAGTACTATAGTTAGCACAATCTCCATCTATTCAGACTGCATTCTTCTACATTAATTAACTCAATCCTCATCTATTTTCCACGTGAAACTATATTCATGGGCCAGGGATTTAGCTCAGCAGCACAGCTCCTGCCTGGCAAGCATGAAGTCATGAGTTCGATTCTCGGCACCAAAAAAAAAAAATTACAAAAGCAGCTTCCCACCTCTATTTTAAAGCACATCTTACCATGATTGCTATATCACCAAATCCAGTGTCAAAGATAAAATTTCAGGAAGTTTAATACGTAGGGGACAGCTATAAAGGTATGATGCGGTTTCTCCTAGAGGCAACGCAAGGTGTTCAGAAGTTTCACAAACAGCAGGTGGAGTCTGCAGAGGAAAGTTTGTTATAGTTGCACAGCAGGCACCATGTCTTTAAAAGTGTAATTTAAAAAAATACTATAAAATTTTTAAAAGATTACATTCCCATATCCACACAAGGGACTAACAAATTCTGTAATTTCCTTATCTTAATCTTCATTTTACACACTTAGAATAATGAAATGTTTTGATTTCCAAGCCCAAAATTTAACATCAATATTTCAATTAATACTCAGGTATAAAGAAATCCTCAAGTAATGTTGATACTTTTCACTCACTGGCTGAGCCACATAAATGTTTACAACTGCATGTTGTTATTTCTCCTAAAGCATCTTAAAATGTTAGGTAATTTTCCTCTGCAAGAATGAACTATATTATAAATAAGCATGAGACAAATTAGCCAGTATTATACAGGGTTTTTAGCTGCTGACCACCACTCATTGTAAAGTGAAACATAAACTGTATTACTTTTACATCAAAATTTGGATTTAAGAATTAAAGTAGCATTTTTCTGAGAAAGGGTCTCGCTATGCTATGCAGGCAGGCCTTAAACTCACTATGTAGTCCAGGCCGGCCTTAAACTCAGAGATGTTCCAGTCTTAGCCTGCTTAGTGCTGGGACTGCAGTAGTACATCTTCACTCCTACCAAAAATGTTACCATTTTTTTTTAAAAGACAACATACCTGTAGTGTTACCAGTATAAAAATTTCCAGTGTGCTTGCTGTCCACTGTTTAACAGATAACAAACATCAAGTATAATGGTTGGGAAATTTTTTTCCCCCCGCTGGTAGATTGAACCGAGGGACTGTTGTATGCTAGAAAAAGCACTTCATGAAAGAACTATACTGCCAGCTCTTTGGTTAGGCAAATTTTGAATAATGCATAGTATTTCAGCATGTGAAAATCAAGTAACTCAAATGATACTTAAAAACTACAGAAACATCAGAACAAAGTAAAAAAAAAAAGTAGGTAAAAATGCATTATCATTTGATCAAACATAAAGGTATGAAATAGTTCAAGTAAAGGTGTACAATGTAGAAAATGTTCCCTTATGATCCGAATTTTTTTCAGACAGGGTCTTGCTGTGTAATCCACTTAGACCTGAAATTTCCGACTCGGTCTCCCAAGTATCTGGGACTGTAGGCATGTATACTACACCGATACTGAGTCTAAAAAATGTTATGATTTGTATCAGATGTGCCGCAAAGCCACATGCTCACAGATGGGAGCTTTTGGAGATGACTGCATCATGGGAGTGTGATACAGGGTTAGTTCACTGGTGAGTTTATACCTGGGTGATGTTGCAAGATGAAGTCTGAGGGGAAGAGGTGGGTCACTGCAGGCGTGGCCTGGAGATATACAGATATGTAGATAAAGATACATAGATATAGATATAGGTATATATAAATATCTATATCTATATATCTATATCTATATATCCCTCCACTTCCCTTGATGGCTGCTGCTTTCTGCCTGCCATGTCATTAATTCTTTCGTCTGCAATGCCGGACTGCCATGCCACCCTGTCTTGCAGTCAGCCCACTATGGGCTTAGACAACTACAAACTATGGGCCAAAATAAACCATTCCTTTTAAATTTTTAGTGTCACGTATTTTGTCCCAGCAAAGAGAAAATAAAACATACACAACACAATTTATAGGGATAGAAAATGCATTATTTCGCTCAGAAATCAGAACATGGGTTCACCTCCTAGAGTAGTAAAAAGGGATTCCTCTAAGGAAATTTGAAATTTAGGAGCAGTTACATCTCATCCCTGTGTCTGGCACACCACCATTTTGAACCCTAACAGGGAGGAAATAAACCACTTTGTAGCATGATCAAATTTGTCTTTATGATAACGGAGGAGGAAATGTTGCAGGAGGAAGAGGACAGGAAGAGCAGCAGCATCACACAGATGGATGGGCGGTCATGGTGTATCTTCTCAGACTAAAGACATAAGCAAATAAACAATCTGCCATCCCACACAAAAGCAAATGTTTTCAAATTTTTCTAAAGTATGAAATTACAAATAATTAAGATGCACTCAAATGAAAAGATACTTTAAGTCAAAATAAAATATGATCATTCTTGCCTAAAGCACATGAAAGAAATGAAAGACCATGGAATACTAGTACTTCGTAATGCTCATTAAAGTCCCTTAAAATTTGATATTCAGGCATGGTGGCACACACCTGTAATCCTAGCACTCAGAAGGCTGAGGAAAGAGCATCATGAGTTAAAGAACACAGGCTACATTAATGAGACCCTGTCTCACAAACAAGAAAAATGTGCAAAAATTTGAAATTTTAGGTTGCCATACAACAACCCACCACAGGAAAATGTGCCAAGTAAAATTACCAACAAGAAAATACAACTACATTATTCATCCATAAAATAATACCAATTCAAACCACAAGAAGTCAAGTGTGGTGGTGGACACTTGTAATCCCACCACTTGGGAGGTTGAGGCAAGAGGATCATAAGTTCAAGGCCAGTTTGGAGTATATATCATGAATTCAAGGCCAGCCTCAATTATATAGTGAGACCCTGTCTCAAAAAAAAATTAAAAGAAAAAAACTTTTCTGTAAAATTTTACTTAATAAAGAACAAAACAATTTCTGTGATGCTTAAAAAGTGATATAACTTAATACTTAAGAGTCATACTAAAAAAATGAAAAACTAAGACAAAATTAGCATTCTACATCCTACCTTCGAAAACTTATCCTACTGAACTTTTAGATACCAAATATCAGAATTACAGGTTGCATTACCTTTATCCAAAATGCTTGGGACCAGACTAGTTTTTTTCATATATTCTGGGATTTAGAATTTTGGCATACATGAATAAATGAGATACGCTGATCGAAGGAAAGACCCAAATGTAATATGAATTTCATTTTTAAAAACCTTATCACATAGCTTGAGGCAATTTTAGCCTCAACACAGTAGACATAGTTCCAGATTCTTGGCATATGTTGGGTTTTGAATTAAGAATGCTCAAGCTGGTGTACTTCACTGTGTTTCTATACTTTGCCTTGTAAACCCCACGAACACATCCACATTTCCACCCTGAATTCAAGAATCACACAGCAGCAGCCTTTCTATGGTGTCTTTTCCGCACTAACTTCTGCAATGCCATGAGTACCTCCACTGGCCCTATCTTCTCTTTTTTCTTTTTTTTGACTCAGTCTTTTTTATTTTGTATTTTATAGATGTGAACTGTCTCAGCCCCTTGAGTAGCTGGTATTACAGGCATGAGGCACCATGCCCAGCCCTACCTTGGTTTTTTCTTTGCAACAGCTCCTGTAAAACAAAAGTGAATAAATTATGCTTTGAAGAAGGCAAGATGTTAAACATTTAAGGTTGTTCTTGTCACAATACTAAAAACTGACACTACAGTACCAATGTAGTCGTGGTATATATAAACACACTCCCACCATGGCTAATACTCCAATAAATGTTATTTACAAATGTTATTTTCAAAAATTTTATTTATCTCATCTACAAGTAGCTGAGTTACTTTATACCAACCCCTATGCTAAGGAAACACTAATGGCCATGTTATTTAGGTACAGTTAGAGATTCACAGTAAAATAAAACAGATCTAGTATTTGAAAAATTAAGATGGTACTACTTGCAAATAATAATGTATGATTTAAATGTTATGTTAAACTGTATGACAATTTGTGTACTGAAGAGCCAAAACATCCCTGGGTAAAAAGATCAAATGTACACAGCTACTCACTGAAAAATATCTTTATGCTGGGAAGCAGCTGTGAGCCAGTAATCAAATTTTACTATGTGTTCACAACCATGTTCTTTTTAGCAACTAATAAAATGACTGGCATAAATTATTCAAGAGAGAATTTCCTAGAAAGGCTGTCTCCTAAGATCGAAACTCAAAACAGTCGCTATATAGTCTTTTCTTGGGATGGCGCTTCTGGGAATCACACTCAGGGCCTCACTCTTGCAAGGCAGGCACTGTGCCACTGAGCTAAACCTCTGGCCCCACCATGAAGTCTCTTGTTTTGTCTTTTTGAGACAGGGTCTCGCCAGGCAGTTCACCCTGGCCTTGAGCTCACTTTGTAGCCCAGGCTGGCCTCGAGCTCACCAGCGATTCTCCTGCCTCACTCAGCCTCCCCAGTGCTGAGAGCACTGGTATGTACCGCCATATCCAGTCTCAATGAAGTGAGGTTGAGAGGTAATATTTCAAAAACAAAAACAGGTTATCCATGAGCCTCCTTTCTCTTTTTTTTTTGCCTCCTTTCTCTTTGATAAAATTTATTTATAAATTTATCTATACTGCCAGAAATAAGGTCATTCTCGTCATCAAATAGAAAAAAAAAGCCATAAAGGAAAAGTTATACAAACAAAATCAATTTCTGAGTAACTGTTTCTTTCAAAAATATAAATAACCAAGCTGGGCATGGTGGGCATCCCAGCACTCTAGTGGCTGAAGCAGGAGAATCACACCATGAGTACAAGGCCAGCCTTGTACATAGTGAGATCCTATCTCAAAATTAATCAACAAACATAAAGTATAAACAAAATTGAGTTACCAACATAAAATACAAACTAACTACATCTATAGTGCATGGAAAAATTTGAATACTATCTTTATTATCTGCTAATTAAAAATAAATATACTGGTGAAAACAGAAAAGTAGAAAAAAAACAAAACAGGAAATAATCAGTTAAATAAGTCTAGGAAATATTTACATTCTCTAATATGCCTAGCTAATAGAAGTTACATATATGCACAGTATCCGTTATGCCTACTGAATTGTAACTAAAATAACTAATGTTGATGAAAATTTATAGTTCACTGGCACATTGTTTTTTGAAGGTAATGAAAACTAACAATACCTTGCAGCCGGGCGTGGTGGCGTACACCTGTAATCCCAGCCCTTAGGAGGCTGAGGCAGGAGGATCACTGCAAGTTCGAGGCCAGCCTGGGCTACAAAGTGAGCTCAAGGCGATCCTGAACTGCACAGTGAGACTCTGTCTCAAAAAGACAAAAAAAAAAAAAATATCTTGCAAAGGGCCAGAAAAATGAAGTCTCCCACAAAAAGTAACTATAAACATTTATGAAAATATTCAATAATTCTTTAATGAAGTAATTCTCACATAAAGCTACAAACCATTACAAAATAAAATGAATAAAATCCCCTTCACCACATGCAATACAAACACCACAGCAGGGCCACTCAGATCATATGTCCATTGGTTTGTATTTTGTTGGATGTGTTCATTGCATGAAGCTTTTAATATTTTTTTTTCCCCATTACCAGGGACCTCCAGGCCCTTAACACTGACCTACAAGCCCAGACCTTTCCAAGTTCTCACAATGTTGGACAGGCGAACCTGAACTTATGATCCTCCTGCCTCATTCTCTCAGAGTGCTGGGACTACAGGGTTATGCACCCAAGCTCAGAGCACTTTTTAGAGGTGGGGGAGTACTGGGACTTAAACTTGGGGCATCATGCTTGCCAGGCAGGCATTGTGCCACTGAGCTGCACCCCTGGCCCTCGGTGGCTCTCTTTTGGTTTGGTTGGTTTGGTTTCACTGTGCTAATGTGTATGAAATTTTTAAGGAAAAATATATTTTAATTCTAATCACTAAGCACACTGTACCAAGTGTATTGCTACAGGTCTATGATTCCATCACTCAGGAGGGCTGAGGCATGAAAAAGAGCAGAAGTTTGAGGCCAACCTAAGCTAAACAGTAAATCCAAGCCAGCCTGGACTACATAGAGAGCTCCAAAAACCAAACAAAGAAAAAGTAAACCTCGAAGGTCTATTCTATTTATTTCTGATTATTCTGGTAAGGGGTCTAACGTATTTGCTGAAATGAGCTACCTTAATGTTCCAACACTCTTTAACCACCTCGCGGTGTCTCAGCTAAGAACGCCTGTCTCAGCTCTGCCTGGAAATCCACCACAGGAACTTGTTGCTGCTGAGAACGCCTTGGGTACAGCTGACACCTATGACAAAAGCACAGACAGCATTGGTAAATGGTGAGAAAACATGTGCGTACACAGAACTGTAGGTCTCTGCACAGAGAAACATGCATGTGACTCGTGGATACTTGCCCAGTCGCAGATATCCTAAGGGTTGAGCCCAGGGCCTTTAACTGAGCTATATCCCTATCCCTTTATAAATTTTTATTTTAAGACAAGAGTCTTGTTGAGTTCTCAGTTGCCTGAGCAGGGCTCAAACTTATGATCCAATCCTCCTGCTTCAGGCTCTCAGAGTACTGGGATTACAGGCATGTACCACCATACCAGGCCTGGTGCTATTTTCAAATAACTAAAAACCCAAGAGCAATTACCCCTATAGAAACACCCTTAGCACCATACTCAACCATTTATATTCCAGTTACCCTATACGGAAACAATCCTGCCTACAATGTGGTAGGGTGAGATTTCCTAAATGATCTTTTTTTGGAAGACATCAAGAGAGTCATCTATATTTATCCTAAAAGTCACTATCAGAAACAACCAGGATGATTAAAAGTTCTCAAATATATAAATCTTGGGGTGTAATGCTACTTCATTAACAGAATTGCTGCCTTTTAAACTACATAAACCATTCATCAGTAAGCAGGGAATGTTACAGAAAGGCTCAACATATCCTGAAGCATCAATAAGCAAGCCATGGCCAGGCATGGTTGCACATGCCTGTAATCCGAGCACTTTGGAGGCTAAGACAAGAGGATGGCCACGAGTTCAAGGCCTGCCCTGGGCTAAGAGAGTTCAAGGCCAGACTGAACTACATAGGGAGACTGACTCAAAAAAACAAAAAAGTAAAAAAAGCCAGCCATGGTGGCACATAACTATAATCCCAGCACTCAGGAGGCTGAGGCAGGAGGATCACTGTGAGTTTGACACCAGCCTGGGCTACAAAGTAAGCTCAAGGCCAGCCTGAACTGCATAGCAAGACCCTGTCTCAAAAAGTAAATAAATCTTCCGTATTACATGCATGTGTTCCTCCTATTAAGGGCATTTAATCTCTTCATCACACAATACTTTGGATTCCAAGTGAGATGTTTCTGGAACCAGATCATACTCACTCTTGGTTGCTCAAGGAAGCCGTTCGTCTACGTTTCACTTGGACTTCCACCTCTGGCACGTGCTGCTCTGTAGTTCTTCTCAGATGTAAGCGATCCCTGAATTAAAAAAGATTTTTTCGACCAAGGATATATGTCAGCCACACAGCACCTGCCTGGCAAGCTCGAGGTCATGAGTTCAATGCCCAGTACCAAAAAAAAATTTTTTTTCTAATAGACATTTTTTTGTAGACATTTACCAGTTTATGAAACTACTTACATGTTACATTTAGAACTGTATTAAAACATAATGGGCCTGTGGCTGGGGATTTAGCTCAGCGGCAAAAGCGCCTGCCTGACAAGCGCAAGGTTGTGAGTTCGGTTCCCGGTACCGGAGAAAAACCAAAAAAATATATATATATATAATGGGCCTTTAAATCTACAATCCAAACAAAGAAAAATTAAAACATGCATTAGATTATCTTTATCCTTCAAACAATTACGATCGGTCCAGTAAGCTGTTTTCAAAACTAGCCTGGGAAAATATGTGTAGATGATAATTTAGTAATTTTTAGGGGCTGGGGATACAGCTCAGTGGCATAAGCGCCTGTCTGGCGAGCACAAATTCCTCAGTTCAATCCCCGGTACTGCAAAAAATATATAGATAATAATTTTTACAGTGGAATAAAAAGATTAAATAGCAAAATACTTAATAGAAGTCTTGTTCAAACATTGCTTTTATCAGATTTACAAAAAAAAAGAGAGGAAAAAAAAACTGATTAAGCACAGAACTTCAGCCATGCAGGCAGGGGAGGCACCTCCATGTTGAGAGCTACAGAACATCCCACAAAATGGCTGCTTTGGGGAACTGAGAATCAAAATGCTCACGTGACACAGCCATGTCGGGAACTGTAGGAACCATTTCTACACTTTTAAAGTTAAGCTATTTATTCTCATTTTTCCAGAATCAACCATCTATTGGTAGTCCTTGGTCACACAATTCGGAAATAACCAACCAGAAAGGTCACACAAAGGGCCTTTAACATAAAGTCATACAACTAATAATCTTAAAGGGAGAACTAAAAACTTCCCAAAAGCTACTTCTCTGAACATTGCTTATAAAAATAGAGGTAAACTTTTAAAATTGAAAATAGCTGAAAAAGCTCCAGTGGTTTTATTGCTTTAAAAAACTTTAAATATTCTAATGAACACATGCACCTGAACTTTTAACTCAAATATATATTCAAATAAAATATTAACTTTTTCAAAAATATTAACTTTTTCAAAAATTTATTTTTGTATTTTTTGTGGTACTGAAGGTAGAACTCGGGCTTTGCAGATACATCTCCAGCTAGCATTCAGAAACCAATCATTCAGATGTGAAGTCGGGCGTGGTGGCGCACGCCTGTAACCCCAGCACTCGGGAGGCTGAGGCAGGAGGGTTGTTGCGAGTTTGAGACCGGCCTGGGCTACAAAGTGAGCTCAAGGCCAGCCTGAACTGCATAGCAAGACCCTGTCTCAAAAAGACTTAAAAAAAAAAAAAAACACTACCAGAAAATGAAAATTAGAGAACAAATTTTTTCAGCTTTCTAAAATTACATTTTCCAACACAACTTAGAAAAGCCAGATATACGGCCTACATTAGATGAAGACAAAAACAGATAAAAAGGAAAAGAAAAAGACACGTTTGTTCTT